GCAATGAAGCAGCTGCAGCCAGCTTGCAGTGCTGCATCTTAACCCATTGCACCACCAAGGAGGGCCAGCGCTCACACTCTTACCTGAGAAGAGAAAAGGTCATTGTTTTCCCTGTTCTGTGAATGCCCCAAAATCTCTAAATATTTCTTTCTTCCTCTGGAGACATGGGTTATGGTTTGCCTGAAAAATCCCTGGCGTGATGACCAAGGGCAAACATGAAGGCATGGGGCATAATGGGTGAATCCCTCCCTCCTGCGAGGCCATCCTGCTTTCCAAGGCCGTCCACCTTGACTATTTAAAGCTCCCACAAAAGATGCTAAAAAGTGTCTCCAAAGTTCTTTTCTCTCATCACATCCTTCAAAAATGTTCCTTTGATGACTACCATTGGAACCATTTCCCCATCACAGAGAAAGCCATTCTATTGGATTTCTCACTGTCCTTTCCTTTACATAAAGTTTTAAGGTTTAAACGTATCAGAAATTTACAAATATAATAAACAAATTTATCTTCTTTTTGACAGACAGTTTGTTCTGAAACTTGCTTGGGTCTGATTCTGACTGAACTATTTCCTCCTACTCATCTAATTAACAAAGTGTTCAAGATAGAGCAGGAGGTGGTGTTCTTTTTTAGAAATAACTTCTCACATTTTCAATTTTACTTTGTTATAGAATTATTACATGTTTGGGAGCCCTTCCTGGTGGCACAACGGGTTAGGACACAGTGCTGCAAGCTGGCCGCAGCTGCTTTTGTAGATGCTCAATCCCTGGCCCCAGAGGTCACCCACATGGCGTGGCAGACCTCTCCTGACCCACACGCTGCTCCCCTCAGCAGTGGACTTAGTCGATCTGCCTGTTCTGCTCCCCGCTCTGTCTCTAGTGAATCCTCTCACCACCCCTGCAACTCTGGCCTGTACCCTCGTTCTGTATGCATAAGCAAATAAATCTTAAAAAAATAGAGTTTTTACATGTTTGGAATTAGAACACCTCTGTCTACTCTAATGGCATAAATCCTTTAGAGTTTTCATTGGAATCATATGACCTCATAATACCTCAGAAACCCACTTATGTGAGGAAGTGGCAGATTGTTATCAGGCATTGCGGGGCTTAGCTATGAAAGGACATCGCCATCTCAGGCCTCCTCCTCTACACCCAAATAGGTTGTAAAGTCCTTCAAATTATTTTGATTTTTTAAATTACTCACAGGTAAATCACCACTTTTCCTTCTCTTTCTAACATTTTAAATGACGATATTCTGCTTAATTTCTATTACTTTTTATAGTTATCTTTTCAGGTGACTTAATGCATACATGTAGCATGACTGAGTCTCACTTGATCCAATGAGTCTTTTTTTTTTTTTAAATCAAGTCCTTTTCAAATCTTACTTTTTATTAAGTGCTCACACCATTTACTCAAGATCTTTTCATATCTTAGTGACTTAGGCATGCATCAACCTGCAAAGCAGGTGTTGCTATTTTTAATCCTAATTTCAGTTTAGCTCCTTTTCAGAGAAAGCAATCTCAATTCTTATACTGGCCTGCAAAGAATTTCCTTTCTTTTAGACTAAGTATAGTTCATCATATGCTTTATTTTTCCCCCCCCTGTAACAAGATAGAGACGGTCTTTTCCCCTTAATTCATTAAAGTAATAATTTTTTGAACTATCCTTGTATCACGGTATAAATTTTAGACAGTCAGCTTTTTTTTGTTCTTTGCCCACCAATGCTCCATTCCCAGGGCATGCCAAGCATTGAAGTCCTTCTGTTTATTCACATTTTCAGCTCTTATCTATTTCTTGTCAAGTTTTAATAGTAAGAAATACCAATCTTATAAAAAGAAAACAATTTTGTGAGCTTTTCTCCTTTTTTATCATCTGTGTTTTTGTTAAGCCTTGTTAGCTCTCTGTAGATCTTTGTAATCAGTCCCATATTGTTAGTATTGTGTGCAAAAGAAATACACATGATAGAAACTATCTGCTCTTTGAAAATTTAGGTAAATATGCCAGGACCACTGTATGGACAGTTATTTTGTTGTTTTTCTTTTAATATATTCATTACATCATCCTTCATTTTTGTACAATGTATGCTTTCTCCATGAAATTCCCACCACTAAACCACCTGAGTACCATCACCATAGTCCCTTGAGCTCTTCCTGCCCCTGTCTTGATTCTTTCCCTTCCTTCTCCCCTAAGGAATATCTCTGATCTATAGTTGACTGATGATTTTGATTTTTTACTTTATTATAATTACATTTTTTTTTCTGATTCCTTACTTGGTTTCTCTACATTCCTCCTATAAGTGAAGCCATTCAATATTTTTATTTCTGGCTTACTTCACTGAGAATAATCCCTTCCAGCTCCCTCCCTGTTGATGTGAAGGGCATGAATTTATCCTTTTTGGTTGCTGAGTAATATTCCACTGTGCAAATATACCACATCTTCTTGATCCTGCTGTCTATTTTGGGGTTGCTCGATAGCTTATCTATTGTAAATTGTGTTTCAATATAAGGTTTCAAGTGCCCTTTTGAATTAATCTTTTTGTGCAAAACACTACATGACATATATATCAGTAATATCTTTAAAGACACATCACCTAAAGCAAATAAAATGAAGGAAAAGATAAACAGCTAGTATTATACAAAATTAAATAACTTCTGCATAGCAAAAGAGACATTAACCAAAACAAAGAAACACCCCACTGATCAAGAGAAAATTTTTGCACACAATACTAACAATAAGGGATTGATTATAAAGATCTACAGAGAGTAAACAAGTATCAACAAAAACACAGCAAATAACCCATTCAAAAAATGGGTAGAAGAAGCCCTCCCTGGTAGCGCAGAGGGTCAAAGCATAGCACTAACAAACTAAAGCCACTTCAGCATGAGTTCGATCACCGCCCGCCCCGGAAGTGATCCAGATGGCACAGCAGACCTCTCCTGACCCGTCCGCTGCTCCCCTCAGCAGTGGACTTCATTGATCTGCCTGTTCTGCTCCCCCCTCTCTCTGGTAAATCCTCTCACTGCCCCCCTACACCTCTGGCTTGTACCCCAGTTCTGTATGCATAAATAAAATAAATAAACCTTTTTTAAAAAAAGGTGGGGGGCAGAAGAGCTAAAATGACACTTCCAAGAAGAAATGCAAATGGCCAACAGGCATATGAAAAAATGTTCAACATCACTTGTAATGAGGAAAATGCAAATCAAAACCACAATGAGATACCACCTTACACCAGTAAAAATGGCACATATTTAAAAAACCAGTTTGGCCCTTCCGGATGGCATTACAGGTTAGAACACAGCACTACAAGCTGGCTGCAGCTGCTTTAGTGTGGTTCCCATTCCCAGCCCCGGAGGTGACCCATTTGGCACAGCAGACCTCTCCTGTCTCGCCCGCTGCTCCCCCCAGCAATGTACTTTGTCAATCTACCTGTTCTGCTCCCTTCTCTGTCTCTGGTGAATCCTCTCACTGCTACTGTACCTGTGACCTGTACCCCATCTGCATAAATTAATAAATATTTAAATAAACAAACAACAACAACAAAAACGAGCAAAAAAAAAATGTTGGTGAGGATGTTGAGAGAAAAGAACTCTCCTACACTGCTGGTGGGAATGTAAAGTGGTACAACCACTAAGGAGAACTGAGTGGAAGTTCCTAAGACTACTAAAAATGGAGCGGGATGGAGCTCATGCGGAGGTGGCTTTAGCTTCTTAGTGCTGTGCTTTAATCTGCTACACCACCAGGGACGGCCCCAGAACATTCTTTTGGTTCACTTTTAACTCATGATGTGTATGAAAAAACTGGTCTGCAATTAGGGATTTTTAACAGGAGTAGATAGAGATTTGTACTGGGATTATGAAATCTGAGATGGATGCTCTGTGTTTCTGTGTTCAGAAAGGTCGGGGATCAACATGGCCTCAGGGCCCACACACAATGGGGAGCAGGTAGACGCTAGTGATCCAGTTATCAAAGGAGACTCAGGATGACCGTGTGGACAAGATCCTCATGGAGTTGTGCCGGCTCCACGGCCCCTCCAGCCAAGGCTGCACGCTCCATCTGCAGCTACACCCTGACTGACATCCAGGGACAGTTAATCACAACAGCAGTGACAATGCTCCTGGAAGCTACACTGTGCTGCTGTGATGAGCAATGGGCTCTATGGCACCAGACAGGCTGCTCCCGTGACACCTCACCCAATCCCCCAGAGCTCTGTCCAGCTGCGCCTGCAGCCAGTTGTGTTGAGAAAGTGCTCTTGAGCTGAATGCACGTATCCTTCCCGAGCCCTAAGTGCTCTCTCTGTCTTTGACTCCCCTATAACTTAGGATTCCGAACACAGCTGCTATCTTTGCCAAAGTTCCTATGTGCCCACAAAGATGGTGTCTGGCTGGCTGTCACCAAAAGCACCCGCGTCTTTCCCATCTTTGCATCAGGAGGCTGGCGCAGGGCACAGAGAAAGTAATGCCTCAGGGGCTTGACGCTGGGCCCAGAGCCCACACCCTGCAGACCTTTCAGTCCTTTCCCAGAGCCCCCTCCAGGTGTGCCACTGTTCCCCTACTGTTGGCTTTTGGGAGCTCATCATTTCTCCCATGTTCTCTCTGCCCTCAGCCTCCTGTTGTGCCCTGGAGTCACTCCCCCTCCCCCCCACCGTGCCACTTGGTCCCAAGTCCCAGTGTATCTGATTCTGGGGTGTCCAGAGGAAGCTCTCCTCTCCCCAAGGAGGCTCTTCAGGGAGCGCTGGTGCTGCACTGGCTAGAGGGGCCCCACCTCCATGGCTGGCCCTGCCCACCCCATTTCACCCTGCTCTTGCCCCGCTGTGCTGACAGGGGACACTGTGCTGACAAGGGACACTTGAGCAGCTCTGGCTGGGGGAGGCAGGGTCACATGTGGGAGGGACAGGGCGCAGCGGCAGGAAGGAGCCTGGGGAGAGGCTGTTCTGCTGCCAGGGAGCTGGCAGGGTGGGAGCCTGGGCTGGGAAGTCGGAGGCCGGGGGTGCCAGGTGCTGCAGCCATGTCGTGCCAGCTCTGGGGGTGGACTCTGCCCTGGGCAGCGCTCCTGCTTCTCCTGGGTCCCCACGCCCTGTCTTACAATTGGCACCTGCATGATGGAAGTGACTGTGATGAGGGCTATGTTATAAAATATTACTTCCCCGCCACCGTGGAGTACGCCTTGCATGTGTTCAATGAGAAGAGCAGAGACGTGAACGCCTACAGGCTGGTGCATGTTCTCAATTCCTGGCGGGAACAGGTAGGAACACCGCTTCCGGTCCAGCTGCCCTTTCCTGATAGTACAGGTAAGTCAGGACTAGGGGGTGTCTTACCAAGGATCATGTTTCCCATTTTAAGATCATAAACTACAGGAGAATAACATCTTATTCAGCTTCAGTTTTCATAAAAGATACAACATGAAAATTCCTAAAAATTTGGTCAGTGTCTACTAACCTACAATATATTTTGTTTTCAATCTTTAAGACATAGTTTATGAAGAATGTCATTAATATTCTTTATGAGAGGCTATACTGGTAAGGAAAAGAGTTAGTCAGAAAATGCTGGAAGAGATAAGTTGAAAACAGAAAAGCAAGATACTTAGAAAAAAACAGAGAGAGAAAGAGAAAGAGAGGGGCGTACACTCTCCTCAGCTGAGAGCTGCTAGAGGAAAGGTCTCTTCCCAGACCGCTCTCACCCTGGGTTCCTCCTGTGTCCCTACTACGCAAGTGGGTTTATTTATTTATATTATTCCTCATCCAAATGTTCTCTCTATAATGACACTTCTAGAAACACCTGCAGGAGCCCAGATGCCTATATCCACCTGGCTGCAGAATAAACAATGGCACACTTTGCCGAGGTAGCATATCTGCCGTGATTGTGTGTGAGTGGTGTGAGTGTGTGTGCATGTGTGTGTGAGAGTGTGTGTGAGTACATGTAAGAGTGTAGGTGTGTGGATATGTGTCTGAATGTGTACATGTGTAGATGGATGATTGTGGGTGTACCTGTGGGCTGGGCCTTTAGTTGAAGAGTTGGAAGAAGGGAGAAGGTCTCCACCCAGAAGCTCTAGGTCTGCTCAGAGGCAGACCTGTGTGTGCTGGGGGATGATGCGGTGCACTGGGGCACAAGCAAAGGAGGAAGGAGAATGGAGAGGAGATGAGCAAAGCAAATTCATGGGAAAATAGTTTCCTGAGGCCACTGTGCCTGTGAGTGTGTGTGTGAGAGACTGTGTGTGTTTGCGCATGTTGTGATTGTGTGACATTTTGTCACACAAGTCAGGAAGGGGTGCCATGGAGACATGGGGCTGCAGGTGGAGGTGACATTCCTGGTGGGGAGCTGGTCCCTATCCACCCCAGGGTCCCCACCACACCCACGAGCCTGTTCTCTGGAAAGCTTGGTTTTACCCTCTGCACTGCACGCTCTTCAGGAGCAGCACTAGTGGACAAGGGGTTCCCACTTTTTCTCCATATGTACCACAGATTGGCTATGTGTTGGCTTTCTCCATGGAGCTGCTGCTTCGCAGAACCACGTGTGGAAAGTTGGAAGAGGACATTGACAACTGCCCCTTTCAAGAAACTGCAGACCTGAACAATGTAAGATGAACACCAGCTCCCTTGGGGGCACAACTCAGACGCTGCCTCGGTGAATGAGGGTGCCAAGTTAGGCTGTGCCAACATAAAATCCAGACTCTACCCTCTCCCTCCAGGCCAGCTGCCTGGCCCCTGACCACATTGATGTAGGTGGCTACTCACCCTTCCTCTGCAATCTTGGGCCACAGCAGATGGCCCTTCTCTGATCCTCATCATCTCCATCTCTGCCTCTGGAAAAGGAGGAAGTCAGACCCCACCACCATCACTTTTGTCACGGTGGCCTGTTCTCAGAGTTGTCCTGCCAGAATCGAGAATCCAACGCCCAAAGGCTGAGGCAACCCTGCCCGCCCTTCTAGACGCAGCCTTGGGGGCTGTTGAACTGTCACTCCTGGGATGGAAATCCTCAGTCTAGGACAAGCCATCCTAGTCAGGGCCCTCAGAGACCACTCCCACTCGGAAAGACTCCCCCTCCTCTCAGATCATGAATCACTCTGGCACATGTGGGATTCCCCCGGGGTCACAGGTCAGGGCTGGGAAAATGACTAGCAACCATCATGTCAGGTTGGTCCCTGCTTATGGACATTTAGGGTCCAGGGGGTCTGCACAAGAGGCACAGAGCCTGCAGCCCAGCTGCTCACTCCAGGAACGAAGGTGGGGCTGGATCCTCCATTAGCGCTGGAGCCCAACCCCTGAGGCTCCTCTGTGAACCAACACTCACCCCTGTGCTTGTTCCCTCAGACCTTCACCTGCTTCTTCACTGTCAGCACCGAGCCCTGGGAAGGGACCTTTGAACTGCTGCACAAGAAGTGCTTGGTGGGGTTCCACTGAGTGAGGATACACCCCCAGAGTGGCCTAAGCCTTCCTGCAGGCAGCGGCTGTGCTGAGCAGCATCAGGCTCCGTGGCGCCTTTTTTGCAGACAGCTGGGTCTCACAAGTCCTCATGCAGGAATTCCTCCTGCGCACCCTCATCCTGTAGAGAGATCATTAAACATCAGCATGTCAAGACGCTCGTGTGATGCTTCCAGAGGGAGGGCTGTGCACTGATGGGTCACCGCAGAGGACAGCTGGGGCCCTGGCCTGGGGTCCTCCTCCCAGGGACCTTCTGGGCTGCTCCAGGGACACATCCTATGAGCTCAGCTGTCTGACCTGCTGTGTCCAGGCTCCTGAGCCTGACCTCTGTCTAGAGGTGCCTTTCAGGGATCCCAGAGGTCAGATGCACCCAGACAGGACCATAGCCCCTCTGGGACACAAGTGGCCTCTGTCTTGGAAAACTTGCCCACACATTCCCTGTCACGGCAGCTGGGAGGAGGGAAGAGAGTCTCCACTCAGGGGGAGACCCGGCCTTCAGCGGCAGCATCTCCTAGAGCCTCATAGAAGTGCTCAGTCTCAAGGCCCCCAACTTATACAAGGAGACTGCATTTCACAGACTCCCCAGACCAGGGGGCGCTCCAGTGGCACTGGTCACCAGATGCTGTGCAGACCCTGCCTAACCTTCCAAAAGCAGACTCCAGAGACATTTTCTGTAGAGGTGGAGATTCATTGCCAGGCCTTGGATCTGCTTCCCCATCCGCCATGTTGCCTCTGTCCCTGGGCACCCCCTGGAGTTTGGGAGCACAAACAGGTGTGTTGTGTTGTAGTAAGACTCCACCTACACAGCAGCTTAATTGTCCCCAACACTAGATGCCATTCTAGTGCCCCCAGCCCCAGAAGACCGGTCACCAGCCAGTTTTCCCTCCAAGAAAATCTGCTCATGCTCATGCTCTGCTCAGGTCTCCCTGTGCTTGGCAGCACCAACAGCAGAGTAGTGGCAGAGGGAGGGCCCGAGGGCTGCATGCCAGCCACTGCAGAGATAGCGGGGAGACCAGGGTCCCTGTCCCAGAGGGCAGGTACAGAATCATTTCCATGGTTCTCAGCTCACCAGCAGAATGCCCTTGGCTCCAGGGGTAGCCATTGTAACAGACCGCTGGCTTACTGCCTCCCTGTCTCCCTGTCCTGCTGCTCTGCCTGTGATCCTCTCCCGAGTAAACTGCCCAGCACACCAGGCAGCATTGCGGGGTCTGCCCTGGAAGGTGAAGGGGACAGGTGGTATGTACCCTGCTGTGATGTGTCCTCCATGGAGAGCTGGATGGGTTCCCTTGAGCCTGTAATTCCAACAAAGCTCCAGGCAGCATCCTGGCTCCTGGCTGAGCCCCTGAGGGTGGGCAGAGCTGAGTCTCATTGCATGTGCCCTGCCTGCCTCACCCCAGACTGGCCAAGAGTTTTCCTTGAGACCGTCCCACCTTCTCCTGGCTGCTCCCACCCTAGTCTTTCTCAGTTGTGACTCACTCATAGAAGGAAGCCTTTTCCCTCTGCCTTTCCTACTCGTGCTTCCAAGGAGTCAACCTCTCATTACACTCAGTTCCCACACTGGACAGCTCCTAAGAGAGGGTCCCCTGTGGCCTCAGCCCACTGGGGAAACCTGCTGGACCTTTTATGAGTACACTCTACCCCTTCGGATAAGGGAGACCAGGAAGTAGTCCTGGTAGGTGTGGCTCCTACAGGGACACCCTGACTACTCCTCACTCAGGGCCCACTGGGGGACCCTCAATTGTTCTTCTCCCCAGAACGGAATTTCAAACATCTGTATGTTGAAGAACCATGGAAGTAGAAGTCTAGATACTTGCCTTGAGTGTGGTCCCTGGGTGATGCCCTTGCCGGGCAGAGGCCAAGAGTTTGGCACAGTTTACCAGGCTGGACATCCCTTGCCCCAAGCTGCCCAAAGACAAAGGGCCCAGTCTGAGCCTCAGCCAGAAGCGTGGATCTAGTGGCTACTACATCCTCCTGGTTGCTTACCTGTGGGCTTCAGATTCAGTTTTTTCAGATTCAGGAGATGGTGGCCAGTACCTGCCGGCATCTAGGCCTGCAATGGGAGTCAAGAGAGGCAGTAGAAAAAAATCTGTCGGTGAGCAAATGTTTTCTTTGTTTCACTTCACTATCTGCTGAGGGATCTTTGCACAGTCTCTTCAGCATCTCAAGTGTCAGAGACCACAAACAGCCATGGAGCTAAATACAAGACTCAATAGAAAGTAACATCAAACTGGAGAAGCCAGAGTACTCTTTGCCGTTCTTCCATGCTGAATCCAAGATGGTGATGACAGGCGCTCGGGGTGTGAAGGGGGGTGCAAAGGGAATAGTGACTCCCACTTCTCCTCTGTGCTCCTCTGCCAGGGACGTGCGATGTTCCAAATCTCCACTTGGGCTTCTGAGACCCAGAATCTTCTGCGGTCCTAGACATCCCATATGGACTAGAGTTGACTCCTCCCTGGCCCTCATAGAGCACGGGAAAAAAGATGTTCTTGCTTGAAACGGAGCAAATAAAAACTCAGAAATCTCACTGGTCAACAGAGCTGTCTTGACCCTGATGTTTTATTTCAACTGACTTAATGTATCTTCAGGGGCCAGGAAGTTTTAAAGAGCTGATTTTGACCAGTGCACAACTAATACTAACCAGCTGACCTAAGACATGAACAGTAAAATCTGACTGACTTAAGCTCTTGCAATAGATATTATGGGCAAGATGGAAATGCCTGCCGCAGGGTGGTGGACCCCTCAGGCCCTCCAGGCGTTCAGCATGTGGTCAGGCTCAGAGGAGAAAGCCTTTCTCTTGGGCTGTTCCAGGACCGATTAGAGACAGCTGCTCTGAATACCAGCACCTCAGAGGTCAAGGGCTGAGGCAGCTCAGCTTTGCCCCAGTGGCGATGGGGCTGAGGGCAGAAGCAGAGGTGGGTGGAGAAGTGCAGTAGGAGAACAGAGTCCTCACCTTGAGGCCATGTAACAAGAATAGCCCCAGACACTTCCTGATAGCAGAGGCCAACGGCACAAAAGCCTGAGCTGTTTCCTTTACCCCACAGTGACCAAAAGCACCAGGAAGAGGCGATAGCATGTGATATCCTAAGTTAGTTCTCAACGTGTGACTTGGCCTCCATTTGGTCTCTCAGAACACTCTGCCCTGGCCAGTGTGCTACCATATGAAGCAAACAGCAACCCTGTGAGGGGTTCACATGAACGACAGAAGCCCCGTCTCATGCCAACAACAAGTTGAGGTCATAAGAGAATTGCCTGTGAAGTGGGTTCCCCAGAGTCTAAACTTCCAAGGAGGGGCTGCCCTGAGCAGCTACATCTGAATACAATCCTGTGAGAGGTAACATCTGAAACGACCAGTCAAATCACCCTCAGATCCCAGAAACTTTGAGAGACAGGTGTATTGCTCAAGCCACTAAGGACAGGGTGATTAGTCATGCAGTGTTAGATAAGCAGTACTTTCTGTGCACATGCACACACACACACACACACATGTGCAGCTCCCTTTCCATGCACCAAGCATATTTTCTGCTGTAATTCAAAACAAAGGGTATAACACAAATCTCTAAAAAGATCAAACTAGCTCCCAGGTTGGGTGTAGTTTCATACTATTCTAAGTCATTGGGCAGTGTCTTCCCAGATGACCCAGCAGGAAAATTTCTTTAGAAATCCATGGATGAGGCCTCCCTGCTGGCTCAGCAGGTTAAAACGTTGCATTAAGAAGCTAAAGCCACTTCCGTTGAGTTCAATCCCCGCCTGCCCCGGAGTTGATCCATATGGTATGGCAGACCTCTCCTGACCTTCAGGCTGCTCCCCTCAGCAGTGTACTTCAATGATTTGCATTTTCTGCTCCCCACTCTGTCTCTGATGAAGCCTCTCACCACCTCTGCACCTCTGGCCTGTACCCCAGTTCTGTATGCACAAACAAATCAATTTTAAAATTTTTTAAAAAAAAAAATCCATGGATGCACACTCTCCAGGAACCTAGATCCTCAGAAACCTCAGAAACTACTCGCCAGCTTAAAGCAATAGAAAGCAATTTCCTTCAGAAAGAGCTACCAGTTTGGCGTTCAATTTGGTGAAGTATGGGAACATTTTTTGTACATTCTTGCATTCAGTGGTAGCAAGTTGCCCTGGTTCATTGATGAATAAAAAGCCAGAAGAGGCTGCCTGCAAGGAACATGGGGTAACTCAGGCTCTTTTTCACCTCCTGCCACCTGCCTCTGCAACCACCACCAGAAACTTTGTTTTCCTCCCAAGTTTCATGACCCACATGTGATCCCATGTAAGAAAGACTTAGGAGCACAAGCACGAAGCACGCACACCTATAAATACAGACGCCCAGTAGATCACAGGGGCCAGGAGCTTCAATTGCTGCCTTCCTCTCTGCTGGTTTGCCTGTGTGTTGGGTGCACTGCGTCAGCATAAGAGGCATGTGAGATATGCCTAAGGCTCCAGATTCCTTTGCCATTTGCCCACATCAACCATGAAATTATCCCACCCAGAATGGTTGTGTAACGCTGCTCCATGCTGTAAAAGGCAGCCCACCCTTGGAACTAGCCCCCACCCCAAAAACACACAAAAAGCAAAAAGGTCACACACATGCACTTAATTCGTCAGTGGTGTTATTTAAATGTTTTGCAAGTGTCTTTACTTCTTTAAAATGTATGTGAGAGTACCAGGATGCACTAGAAGATAATTAGGCAACTTGGCATTGTTTCTTCAGCATAGTGAGTTCAAATTTCCAGGGTTTGGATGCAACAATAAAGGTGCAAAGGAACATCTAAAAGAGACAAAACAAATAATCAACATATAAATAAAACATGTTTTGACCTTACTAGAGATGAGGGAGATACAAAATGAAAGAATAAGCAAATAACATATTACATATCTCAGACCAGAGAAATTTAAGATTCGTAGCCCAAAAGGTTGACAATGTTGAGGGGAAATGAACATGACATATCATGGGGAAGATAGGTCGATCCAATCAATTTTGAGAGAAAAATTGCAGTTGTGCAGGATGTGTGGGCTAGCACAGAGCAATGGGAGCTGCACGTGCCCCATAACATGGCAGCCCACCCTGACATCACCCAGGGGGACCCTACTCTGCTGTGAACATAGGGCTGAACTGTCAATAGCAGCAGTGTCGAGAGTGAAAAATTAAAACCACCGTAAGTGTCCAAAATAGAAACAGGATGAAATATAGTGTGAGCTAGTCATGTAAGAGCTTAATATACAATAATAAAACCAATTTTAGTCCATTTGTATATACAGCGACAGGCATAAGTCATCATTTGGCAAAAATAATAGGACTATGCCAACATGAATAAATCTCAAGGCATATTGTGGCATAAGAAAGACCAAAAGTTTGAAAATCACACAAAACTTTACATGCAGAGATAAATATTTTAGGAGAGTGGTTATCTTCGAGAAGAGTGGAATGGATGAATAATAGATATTTTTAATACTTGTTAGAATATATTTAAAATCAATCTACTAAAATGATGTTATAAAATCCGAGTAGCAAGCAATTGGGTATTTGGTATATTGCTCACATTCTCTACCTGAATTTTGAACTATTACTGAAGTGAAAATGATTTCTATTATTGAGTAATAAGAATCCTCCCTCTAGCTGTAGTCTCTATTTGCAGTTTGGTGTCCTGATGTGGTGTCCTGAAGTCCTGATGTGCCCACTTCTCATGAGAATGTAAAAATAGTTTTTATTTGAGCATGTATGGACAATTTTTGGCAGCTACTAATCTATCATTATTTATACTTAAATAAGTCTTGTCTTTTAGACATACATTAATTGACATGGTTATATATATTATAAATCCATTATTTTAGGGAATAAATATAAATAAAGGATACAATGTAAATATTTATAAATACATATGTAGTTTCATTTATGAAAGTGAAAAATTGAAAATAAATTCTATGGGATGATTGTCAGGACAAATTTGGAAAGGTAAAAAAGGAAGTTACATCCAAATACACAAAATCAGCAGTTACTAAGATCAAAGAAAGAAGAAAGGCTATTATCTAGACAAACTTATAATAAAGTTATCTTGGTAATCTCCACTCAAATGATCCCAGGAACTCCTAGGGAAAGAAGTGAAAGATCCTCAAGCCTCCCAGAGGGGTGTGATGTCACCTTTATCATTTATATTTTTTTGAGAATATATTCTTAGAAAGTATTTACATAATTAAAAGAATTAAATTTAAATGCAAAATGGATATGAGAAGAATTAGGAAATTTCTAACTAAGACAGAGTTAACCTGTTCCCTTATGGTAGAGCCCATTGAACAAGCACCAAGTAACAACCAGATCCAGCTGGGAACGTCTTTCATCTGGGACATGAAGAAGCAAAAGACTGAATGAATGTAGGAGACAATATTAGACTTGTGGGGCCATAGGGGTGGAAGTCTTGGGAATAGCTCAACATCTCTCAGGTTATCCATAAATTTTTTAAATTATGTAAATCTCAATAGCTGGACTATTAGGATCAGTCAAGAAAAGTAGCTTCTGGTATTCCCAGCTGGAAGCCTGCTCTGTCAGCCATGCTTTCTGCTGTGCAGGTGGCATCCATAGAGGGTGCTGGGAAGTCTAAGATGGCTGCCATCAACCCCTTTCCTTCCAGTGCATATAGGATGCTCTACCCACACAGAGGGCTCCAGGAAGTCTATGCCCTTCACTTGAACCTGACTGGGCTAATGACCTGCTCTGACAAAAGGAATGAAAATTGGTAAAAGGAATATGTGGGGACCTCCAAGCCAAAGGTCTAGGGCTGGTCTCAACTTTGGCTTCCTCCTCTTTGAGGTCTTGTCACAAACAGGTAAGGAAGCTCAAAAGTAGGATGACAGATTCATCACAGATTCTCTAGGGTTTCACTAGTTTTAGTTCTCAAAGTCCTGGGTCCCAGGAAACCATTTAGTCCTAGACAATCCATGATTTGTTACTCTAGAAGTCTGCTCATGGAGAGACCCTGAGCATTGAGAAAGTTGCCTCACCAATGCCCAGCTGTTTCAAGACCAGAAACATGAGTAGAACAGCCATCTGGTAAATTCCTGCCCCAACATACACCACAGGAAGCAAAAGAGTTGCCAAGCAGAGCCTAGCCCAAACAGCAATAGAGTGAGAAATAACGAATACATGTTGCTATAAGCCACAGTGGAGAGCAAGTGAGAGAATGCACTTGGAAATGGCACACTGGTGAGGGAGAGAGGAAGATGGACACAGCAGCTGATAATAGAAAAAGTATCCTATGTCTAGAACATCAGGAATCATCAGTCCTGAATATGATCAGAATATGGTTTAGACAGGAAAGCTGAAATATCAACTCACCCCTACGAGAATGGCCTGGAAACAACAAATGTAGGTGAAGATGTGGAGAGAAAAAAGAGCACACATTCACTGCTGTGGGTATGTACACCCACGGATGCCGGTGAGGAACTGATAGTGCAGTATGGAAAATTCGGTGAACTGAAAAGGATCCAGCAATGCTATTCCTAAGTATTTGCAAAAGGAATATGAAAAGGCGTGCACCCTGTATTCACAGTAGTCAGAACTCATGGATTCCATGACCCAACTAGATAAAGACATGGTGGAAAATGTAACCAATGGAATAGCTCAGCATTTAAAAAGATATAATAGTCCTTTTTGGGCAAAATGGATGGATCTTGAGGGGATTATGCTGAGATAAGTCCGAAAGAGAAAGACAATTGCCAGACAGTTTCAGTCATTGGTGGAAAATAAATAACCAAAGGAAACAGACTGCCAAGATACAAGAAAAATAACCCTTAGACTGTGAACATCTAGTGGGCACAGGAGTGGGGAAGGAGGGGTGGAGGCTAAGGTGATGGTGTGCATGCACCGGAGCTTTGGGGGAAGGTGGGGGGAGCAGGTGCACATGTCTGGTGAGGACTTGTATTCCCAAAATGGTACAATTATGTAAACAGGTGACCAAACCATATAACTTATTTTATGAGAAGAAAACTAAAACATTGAAACAACTTTGGTCTATCAATTTTCCACTGTGTGGCCCATAAACCATCACTCCCAGGTGTCAACCACATACCTTTTGCATTTTGGGATTGCTTTGTAATACACAGTTTTCATTTTCTCCTGAAATTTTCTTGCACATGGTTCGGGCAATTTTGACTTCAAGAAAGTAGTCCAAACTATCTGTGACCTGTTAACAAGTAATTTAAAAATTAAATTTCCTGAAAGGATGTGTAAGGTCATGTCATCTTTGACCAGCGAACATGTGAGTGACTGCTTATGGCAAAGAATGTCTCTCTACCTTCCCTCCAACAGTTTCCTTGCCAGAGTTTTGGGGTTATGGGGTAGGGAGGTGGTTTCTTACCTGGATATCTTGTTTCTCTGTCTCTTTCTCATCAAGAAATTTCATTTGAAACTAATGAAAATTGTTCTAAAGCAAGACAACTGTTCCCCAAAGAATCTTTTCCAGGGAAAGCTAATGGCTTGTTTATGAGCACTTGGGAAATTAATAGCAGCAGTGTATCATCTTCATAGCTAGTCAGGAAATACTTAGGGAATAGAAGCCGTCCCAGAATTGAGAACTGCTTAGAATGGATCACTTTCATGCTTTGGCAATTTTAGTACTTCATACATTATCCGTGGGCTTCCATCCTCCCCAGTCCCTTGTACCAAGGACGCTCTATCATGCTTCCTAGTTCTCTTTTAATAATGAAGTTAGCCTATTTACTTTCCTGGTCTTTCATGAGATATGTATTTTTAAGGTGTCTGTAGACTATTCCCTAATTTGAATTTGTTTAACTCTTTGTGCTGAGCTTCAGGATATCATTTTGTGGTAGAATACCACATATAGTGAAGTGTCCTTTAAGTACCTCACATCAGGTGCTTAATGTCACTTTGCCCCTGTGTTGGCAAGCACTTGCGAACGAAGGCATTTACCATATACCCTGATTAAAAGGGCATCTTCTCACCATTGCATGAAGTTACCATTAAAGTCATGCCTGCACTAATCATTTCCCAACTCTCACCCAATGATCATAGGTTATAAGATTGATGCTCATGAATTGGTTACTACCATTATGGTTGCAAAGGATGATTTCCCAGTTACATCTAACATTTTTCACTTAAGAAGAGACTTCCCTCCTAGTTCCTCCTTTCAGCAAATGATGAACGTGCACTTTCTTTGCTTGTTTACTGCTATCATTATCCATCCCTGAAAGTACTCATTTTGGTATCAGCCTAAATTGTCCCAAACTTGGGCCTTTCTTATTTGACTCCTCTACTTTCTCTGGGACTATAACCAATTTTAATTAACTTGATGGATACATTGTTTCATCCCATAAGGATAGAAAATAAAGTGAAATTCAGGGAGTGTCCCTCCAAAACTCCTAAACTTAATAATTTTTGGCTAATGATCTCTCTCATGACTTTGACTCCCTAGTCACATAACCATCTCTGAACAATAGGCCCCTCCATGACCATGGACATAGGAAGAGTGAGGAGTAAATGTTCACCAACCTGCTCCTGGGATTTCAGAACCTCCACCACCTTGAAGGTGTACTTGTCTTTACTCTCCCTGTTAAACTCTTTCATAGCAAACCACAGTGCCTGCTGTACATAGACATAGTCCTTGGGGATGTCCTGGAATTTCCTCACCACTGTGGGTGAGCCCCAGGAGTGGACACTTTTGGAAACAATGACCGCAGTGACCACCAGGAGCAGCAGATTCTGGCAAAGTCGGAGCATGATGCCTCAGCCAAGGGGCACAGGCTTCCTTCTGTCCTTCCAGGACTTGGCTGGGAGTAGGCTGGGCTGGGCTGCCTCCTGACAGCACTACTGCCACGAAAAGGAAAGAAGTGTCACCATCACTCAAGAAGAAGCCCAGGGAGAAATGCAGAAATTCCCCATCGTGGCTGTTTCCTTCCTGGAAGATGCGCTTCCCCACGCAAAGGCCGGAGGCCTGCAGCAAATGTGACGCTGCAGGGAGAATGGGCCCTCATGGTTTCCTTCCCAGGGGTGTGTGTGAGGGTGTGTGTAAGGGTCATCAGTGAAATAAGTCAGGAGAAAAGCAGACAGTGTGGCTTCACTCACATGTGAATGGAGAAAAAAAAGAACGCGAATGAACCAATAGAATAAAGCAAACACAAACTTATAGACTCTAAGAACAAAATGGTGATCCCCAAAAGGTGAGGAGGGAAGGATAGGAAAATGCAATTAAAGGAGTTAACATTCTTTTTGTAAGTGGGACAAAAATAGGATTTTGGTCAACATTAAGTGGTCTATAAAGACATCCAAAATGATGTGCACCTGAAACTTGCATGATATTATAAACCTGATACTTCACTTTTATTTTAAAAATATACACAAAATGTTTATATTTTATTTTTTAGTTTACTTTTTTTTAATAAAATATAATCGGGCCCTCCCTCGTGGTGCAATGGGTTATGACACAGCACTGCAAGCTAGCCACAGCTGCTTCAGTGTGGGTTCAATACATGGCCCAGAGGTGACCCACAGGGCGCGGCAGTCCTCTCCTGACCTGCCCACCGCTTCTCTCAGCAGTGTACTTTGTCAGTCGGCCTGTTCTGCTCCCCACTCTGTCTCTGGTGAATCCATCACTGTTCTTGCACCTTTGTCCTGTACCCTAGTTCTGTAATGAATAAATAAATAAATCTTTAATATATATATCTATTATATGTATATGTACTATATGTATATTATGTGTAATATATGTATATATAACCTGCAGCTAAGTCCTTCTACTTTTTTTTTAATTGGGATTGCATTGAATCTATATAATGCTTTGAGAAGGATGGCCATTTTGACTTTGTTCATTCTTTCATCTAGAGCAGGGGATATCATTCCATTACTTGTGTCTTCTATATTTTTTTAAAGATGTATATATTTATGCACCCAGAACTGGGGTAGAGGCCAGAGGTGCAGGGGTAGTGAGAGGATTCACTAGGGACAGAGTGGGGAGCAGAACAGGCAGATCAATGAAGTACACTGCTAAGGGGAGCAGCCAGCGGGTCAGGAGAGGTCTGCCTTGCCATGTAGATCACTACCTCTGGGCTGGGGATCGAACTCCCACTGAAGCAGCTACAGCTAGTTTGCAGGGCTGCACTCCAACCTGTTCTGCCACCAGGGAGAGTCGCCCTTCTACTTTTGTTTGCTTCAAAGTTTTGCCTCAAAACTTTGTTCACATCCAAATGCAAACTGTTCCAACCACTATGAAAAGCTGTGTGGTGGTTTCTCAAACTGTTGAAAATGGACCTTCCATATGCTCCAGCAATTCCACTCCTAGGTATCTACCCAAAAGGCACAAAAACACAGATTCAAAAGAACACCTGAACCCCTATGTTTATTGCTGCTCTACTTACAATAAGGAAGATAAGGAATTAACACAAATGTCTAAAACTATATGACTGGATCAAGAAGATGTGGTACATATACACAATGGAATATTACTCAGCAATCAAAAAAGATAAACTCATGCCATTTGCAGCAACATATATGGAGCTGGAAGGGATCAGGCTTAGTGAAATAAGCCAGAATGAAAAAAAAAAAATACCAGATGATTTCACTCATAGCAGGAGTGTAAATGATCAGGAAAAATATATATATATATATATACACACACACATACATATATATAGTAATTGTAATAAAGTAAAAATGAACATCAACTAACAACTATAAATGAGACGTTCTACAGGGGAAGAGATGGAAACAGGCAAAACTGGGGCTGGAAAAGAGCACGTACTAAAGTGAAGTGGTGGTGGGAAGTCCACAAGGATTACAACTGAGGTGAAAAATGTACAAAATGAAGAATTATGAAAAAATATATATAAAATAAAAAAAACCCTTTGCCCACACCTTTCCTTTCTCTAGATAGCCTCATTAGAAATTGTACTAAGAACTGATTATTATTGAGGCTCTCCAGGACCTGCGAACAGCACTTCATCTGTTTTCTCTGTTAATCATTGCCATTGCCTTGGGGTGCAATGACATTTGCACAGGAGGAACTTGGTCTCATAAAGAAGTCAAGTAAGTACCTTGGGCTCTTTGACTGGGCCTCGAGCTTAGCTCATCACTTGCCCCAGGGTGTACCTGCCTCATGTCTGTGTATAGATCACAGCTGGAAATGGACACTTGATTTTGAAGCACTTCTTTTCTACTGTGAAAGATAAGTCAGGATGAGGCACCATGACTGAGAGCTATTAAGTGTAACCAGTGACCAAAGAGCTGGAGAGACACAGACAAGTCCACAGTGGTGGTCAGCACACAGAGCAGTCAGCTCAGCGTGCCTCAGCTGTACACAGAATTTGATGGCAAAACCAAGAGATGCCTGAGACATACCACCAAGCTCTAAGTGTGCTTGAGAAACACAAAGGAGAATATTCATGGGGCCTTAATTTGATCCCAGTGAGGATACTTCTGGCACCGCTGGTCCTCTCCTCAGGGTACTCAGAACAAATCCTCAGAATGCAAGAGTCAGATGAGTGACAGCTGTGCCAGGAAGACTTTCCTGTCTCCTGAGAGCCAGTGTCTGCCACTTTGCTTAACAGGGAGGCTATTGCGGCACAGGACACAGCCTGCCCAGAGTCTGACTCTGCCTGCTTGCCGCTGCTTCTTAAACATGAGCGGGCTCCACTTAACCTGGTACCTACCTTCTCCCTCAGTAATTACCCTGATTTGATCAACATGAGATTTGAGAAGGTAACATTGGCCTGTGAGTTTGGTGCGTCTCAGGCATCTCTTAGTTTTGCCATCACATTCTGTATACAGCTGAGGCACACTGAGCTGACCACTCTATGTGCTGACCACCAACAGGGACTTGCCTGCATCTCTCCAGCTTTTTGGTCACTGAGTCTTGTGGTCTCTGCAAGAAGCATCTGGGACACACCAGCTTCATGGACATTCCCACTCATAGCTGTGCCTGGACCCACCTGAGGAAACTGCCAGGCGCTGGTTGTCTCAACCCAAGATGCTGTCTGTCTTCTCCCTGAGGTCTCGAGATTTGACCAATCCTACCTTGTAGGCCACTTTCTGTCTGTAGGGTCCTCAGACAGACGTCTGGTCAGGGTGTCGGTGGGGCCTGAGCTCTGAGATCCTTGCCCTTTGACTGCATAGCAGGTGGTCACATCTATGGCCCTTTGTGAGGTAAGCCCAGCCCTCTCTGATGCTGCTCACAACAGGACCTTTGACAGGGATCCTTCGGCCCTAAGACAGCCACATGTCCCCTTAATGCCCAGGAGGGTCTCCTTTCAGTACAGAAATCTTCACCCTTATTCCTAGACTCCTGATTTTTTACATTTCAGGGCTGGGGATTAAACCAGTTGGAAGTGAAAGCACCTCATGTCTATTTCTGTCAGTCTCATTATGTGACCCCTATTTTAAAGGCAGGATGAGACACCAAAGAGATTTAGGCAATCTGGACTGAGAGTGCCTTGGGCAGGGTAATCCATCAGAGGGTCCTAGGCGAGAACCTGGATGCCTACCCTGGTAGATGTGGCCAGAAATGCTAAGTAGAAGGTGTCTGCTGGCAACACTTCTTTAGCATGAGATAGCTCTACTAGGTGAGCAAATGGACACGCCCTGAAACCAAACATGCTTCTCCATCTAAAACCTTGTCCCAGTAAGTGCTCCAGTTCTGCTCACCTCTTCTTTGCTAGAGTTTCTGGTCTGCGATTCTTATGTCCCAGACCAGGCACCATCCCACTCCACATCCCGAGCCTATCTGGTAACAGTGAGGGAGCTCCCACATGCTCAGAAGTTTGGAAATTAATTTTTCTTTTTCTAGAGTAAAATACAGATGAATACGAAGAATATCATACGTAAAATTTATAAAATTCCAAACTAAAGTCAGGCCCTCAGGCCCACTAGACCTGGCTAAAAATTAAACTATTTGAGACAGGCCCCTCCCTGGTGGTGCAGTGGGTTAAAGCACAGCACTAAGAAGCTAAAGCCACTTCAGCATGAGTTCGATCCCTACTCCGGAGGCGACCCACGTGGTGCGGCAGACCTCTCCTGACCTGCCTGCTGCTCCCCTCAGCAGTGTATTTCACCTGTTGGCCTGTTGTGCTCCCCACTCTGTCTATGGTGAATCCTTTCACTATCTCTGCACCTCTGGCCTGTACCCCAGTTCTGTATGCATGAATAAATAAATCTTTAAAAATATATATGTGAGACAAAATTGTATGATTGAATTGAAGGGTCCTTTCTAAGCACGCATAAAACAAAGAAGCCAAAATGGAAAAGAATAATAAATTTGAGTACACATTTTGTATTACACACATACACTAAAATCAAGAAGTGAATGAGAATGCAGAATTCTTATTTGGAAGATGTCTGGCAAAGGACTAGATTCCCTTTCATGAAAAAAAATATCTTTTCAATCCAGAAAAGAAACAATTTCCTCAATTGTCTTGACTAAAAGCGAGCCAAGAATTTGTGCAGGCAGTTTACCCAAAAGGATTCCACTTCCCCTCTTGGCCACACATCAATTGTTTGAAAACCATGGACCTGTGGTGACGCCTCTCTCCCACTGCCCTTGTGGATTCACCTTCTACCTGATGTCTGTGAGCAGGGGAAGTTGCACAACATAGCAAAGAGACACCCACATCCTTCATTGTGAACTGCACAGGTCTGCAGAGGGCTCCAGGCATCTGTGACCTTTGACTCCACATCTCCAGAAGAAGAAGATGGTGGTAAAAGTGAACGGGGAGAGGTGACACCTTCTGGTC